AGGCAAGGCAAGGGACTTAAAGTTGGCACCAAAAGTATAATCTATAAAAGGAAAAATTGATAAATTCAACTTCATTAAAATTAAAAACATTTGCTCTGTTAAATTTCCTTTTAGGATGAAAGTGCTGGCATAGTGGTTCATGCCTATAGTCCTAGCACTTTGGGAGTCTAAGGCAGGAGGATTGCTTGAGCCTAGGAATTCAAGGTTATGGTGAGCTGTGATGATGCCACTGCACTCTAGACATTGTGCCTCAAAATAAGAAAAAAAAAAAAAGAAAAGAAAAAAGAAAGAAAGAGAAAATGGTGAAAGTATAATCTATAGATTAGGAGAAAGATTTTCAAATCAGATGGATATATAAAGAGCTCTCAACTCTAAATAGCAAAAATATAAACATATATAATTAAAATGGAGAAAAGCATGACAAGATATTTCTCACATTTCTCTGAAGAAAATAATCAAATGAAAAATAAATTATGTTCAATGTTATTGGCCATTTTATGGAAATTTAAATTAAAACCACAATGAGATATCACTATGCCTATCAGAATGGCTAGAATAAAAAGAGTGACAAAATCAAATGATGGAGAAGATGGAGAGAAATGTAATAATTCATACATTGCTAGTGGGAAAGTAAAATGGTATAATTACTCTAGAATATGGTTCAGTACTTTCTTTAAAAAAATGAAAATGCTACTACCATGTAACCTAGCAATTATACTCTTGAGAATTTATTGCAGAAAAATGAAAATTATATTTGCATAAAGTCATACAAATGTTTATAGTAGCTCTATTTGTAATAGCCCCAAACTGGAAACAACCCAAAAGTCCTTTCATAGGTAAATGGTTAAACAGACTTTAGAATTTCCATACTATGAAATACTACTAGCAACAAAAAGAAACAAACTATTAATATATACAACAATTTGGATCAATCTCTAGAGATGTATTCTGAGTGAAAAAATGCCAATCCTGAAAAATTATATGCAGTATGATTTCATTCATAGAACATTATAAATAACCAAATTATAGAAATGAAGAACAAATTAGTGTTTACAGTAGAAAGAGTTGAGTGGGTAAGGTAGAAGTGAAGCGGGGAGACAGTCAGTGTGAAGATACAAGTACACCATTAAGAATTCTTGCTATGAATCTTCTATATCTTGCCTACATAAATGTCAATATTCTGGTTGTGTTATTGTACTATAGTTTTGCCAGATAACATGGGATCTCTCTGTATCACTACTTATAATTACACGTAACTATATAATTTTTTCAGAATAAAACATTTTAATTAAAAATATGTATAGTATAAGCCCAAAAATTAAAATAGCAAATAAAAAGTTATGTAGCTCATAAGCCACACATGCAAAAAAAGGGAAACAAATTAAAATAATTTTAAAAATTAGCCCAAAACATGGCAGAAAAAGAAGAGAATGGGGAAGAGAATAGGTTGAACAAACAGGAAAAAAAAAATCAAAGTGAAGGATTGTACCTTAATTATCAATGATTACATTAAATATAAATGATTTAATACCCAAAATAAAAGGCAGAGATCCTCAGATTGGATTCAAAAAAGCAAGGCTCAACTATAAGCTGCCTTCAAGCCATGGACTTCAAATATAAAAATACAAAAAATTGAAAGTAAAAAGATGGAAAAATATATAACATGAGAGGTGAATAGATCACTGGAAGAGAGTAGAGAGCCAGAAATAGACTCACAAACGCATAGACACCTGATTTTTTTTTACAAATATGCAAAGGTAATTTGGTAGAGAAAGGAGAGTCTTTTCAACAAATAGAAATATTGGATATCCACATGCAAAAAATGAATACATCTTCATAGTACCTTGTAGTATCTGTGATGGTTAATTTTATGTGTCATCCCAAATGGGTCATGGGGTGCCCAGATATTTGGTTTAGACATTATTTTGGATGTGCCTGTGAGGATGTTTCTTGACAAGATTAGCAGTTGTGTTGGTAAACTAAGTGAAGCAGATTGCCCTCACTGGTGTGGTAGGCATTGTCCAGTGCATTGAGGGCCTAAATAGAACAAAGAGGTGAATGAAGAGGGAATTCGCTCTCTCTGTCTGACTGCTTGAGCTAGAACATTGATCTTCTCCTGCTCTCAGAATGGGACATGTACCACTGGCACTTCTGGTTCTCAGGACTTTGGACTTGGACTAGAACTTTATCATCAGTTCTCTTGGATCTCAGGCCTTTATTATCAGATTGGAACTATACTATTGGCTTCCATGGGTCTTCAGCTTGCAGATGGCAGATAGTGGGACTTCTCAGTTTCCATAATTGTGTGAGCCAATTCCTACAATAAATCTCTTGTGTCATATATGAGACAAGCCAGTAGTGTATATATCCTGTTTTTTATATATATAAGATATATGTATCTTGTTATATATATATCATGTTTTACATATATATCCTATTTTATGTATAGAGAAAGATATAGATGGATATAAAATCTATCGGTCTGTTTCTCTGGAGAAACTTAATACAGTACCATATAAATAAATTAACTCAAAATGGATCATATACATAATTTTAAACCTATGAAACTTCTAAAAGGAAACATCAGAGAAAATCTTACAACCCTAGGTTAGACATATCTAAAATTTCATAGATATGAAACCAAAAGCATGATTCAAAAAAGAACAAATTGATAAAGTGTACTTCATCAAAATTAAGATCTATTTTTCAAAAGACAGTGTTATAAGAATGGAAAGACAAGACTAAGATTGGGAGAAAATATTTGTAGAATATATAAAGAACTCTCAATATTCATTAATAAGAAAAGAATCAATATAATATAAAATAGGTAGAAGGTTTGATGACACTATACCAAACAAGTTATTTGGATAGCACCTAAGTAAAGATGCTCCACATCTTTATTCATTAGGAAAATGCAAATCAAGACCATAATGAAAAATCACTATATACCAATTAGGAAGATTAGAATTAAATAGACTGACCATCTCAAGTGTTGGCCAAGATGTAGGGGAACCTCAAATCCCAAGTTATGTTCATTGATGGTGGGACTGTAAAATTGTACAACTACTTTGAAAAACAATTTGACAGTTTCTTGAAAAGTTAATGTTATACCTGCCATATTCCCCAGCCATTTCACTGGATTTGGATCCAGGTATTTACCCAAAGGTCATGAAAGTTTTTGTCAAAGACTTTTGCACATATGTTCATAATAGATTAATTTTTAATATCCCAAATGGTAAACAGGTCTAAATGTCCATAGGTGAATGGATTAAAAAATGTAGAATATCCATGTAATAATATATACTCAGTAATAAAATGAACTATTGATACAGCAACATGGATCAATCTCAAAATATTTATGTGAGTGAAAGAAACTATAAAAAAGAAAGCTCATACTGTATAATTCCATTTATATAAAATTGTAAGGAATGCAAACTAATGTGCAGTGAATAACAGAAAGCAGACCAGTGGCTGTCTGAGGAGGATGAGACAGGAGGGAAGAGACTGCATAAGATCATGAGGAATCTTTTGGAAGTAATGGATGTGTGTATTATCTTGTGGATATGGTTCATGATTACACACATATGTCAAAACTTATCAAATGGTATACTTTATATATGAATATGTTATATATCATACACATCTCAAAAAAACCTGCCACACATATACACACACTCCTCTCTTAAAGTATACTGGAAGAGATTATTCAATTAGTTACAAAGTGAAAAGATTTGTTGACAGATCTAAGTTTGCCTTGAGAAAAAAATTTATTATCTATTTTAACATAGGAGCCTTTTTACAGCCCCAGGATATATAACAAACAAAATATGAATTGGGAGATTTGTTTCACCGCTTTATTATAAACTAGCCAGGTTCACAGATGCAGGCAATACACTCTCAAGCATATGTTAGAGAAGTTAACTTTCACAGATTCCACAGATATGACCCACTGCTTATATTAATATTACACTAACATATTCAATGCCATTTTAACTCAACTCAAATGTTCTTGCCATAAAATTGTACATCCCATAAGTAAAATTGGTAACTAACGGGAAGATAAAAAATATTTTGATGCTTGTGTCTTCTTGAGAATTCTTAATAGTTCATGAAAACTGAATACAATTGTGTTTCAAATGCCTCAAATAACTTTTCAGATACACAGAATAACATTTGAAGTCTTTATAGCTCTTCTTTTTTTAACATCGAGTATCCCTTCACTAAAATTATGTTATATAATATAAGTAATAATATACTGAATAAAAGGTATTCAGTATAAAGGGGAACAGAGATGGTGAACCTTAAGTGACAATTTTAGAATTCTTTGACACTTCTCCCATCAACAACAACAACAAAATAGAGATAAGACTAAAAACAATTCTTACTATTTAATCTTTATACTTCCTCATAATTTTTTGGATATCTTTTCAAATATTTTTCTTTACATATGCCAATTTGACTAATATCAAGGTAGGCTTAGTCAGACTATAGCAGAGGCCTGTAAAATACTTGTGTTTTATTTCTATTCTTTTCTCCCCTTCTTACCTTTCATATATTTCTCTTTTTCTCCTTTAATTTTTTTTTGTTTCATGTCAGTATTGTTTTTTATATTTCTTCATGAAGTTCTCAGATGGAATCAAAGCCAAAATATTTGGTGTATTGTTGGAGCAAAGTGTTGGCTTGAGAAAGGTGTGGTTTGTTCTTTACCTTGTAGACTTCATTTCTATCACCTCACCTCCCTATAGTTTTTATATATAAAATTGGCTTTTGTCCAATCTCATAAAAGATGCAAGATTACTATACAAACACAGAGATTAGGACTCTACAATATGGAAGAAGCTGGGAGTAAGGTGGGACATGGTGATTGGGTAGACAACCAACATTGTTTGCCATAAATGTCTTTCAGGCAAACTCCTTCAGCTATAGCTTTACCTAGGAAGATAGTAGGTTTTGTCTCAGTCTTCTGTTTTATTTCCCCTTGATTTTGGTGTGTTTTATAGCTGCTGAAGGAATGGTGTGCAATCATCTGTGTTCAAGCGATGGCTGTTGGGGCTCTGGGCCAGACCAGTGCCTGTCGTGCCGCCGTTTCAGCAGGGGAAGGATCTGCATAGAGTCTTGTAACCTCTACGAAGGGTAAGGCTTCTTATAATATTGATGTCAACTCATGAGCTGCAAAGGACTGATTAGCTCAGATTTTAAAATTATAAGAAAATTTCAGAACATGTGTGCAGGCTATGATTTTTAAGGAGAACTCTTATTGCATAAGGAGACAACACATAGAAGAATTGTTTTAAGGAGAGATAATTTTATTTATAATAACAAGTCTATATATTTACTATATTTGCATTTTAAAAAACATATACTGAGAGAATTCTTAATAAATTATAGCAATTTATACTTGAGCAAAAATTGAAAAATGTATTCCAATTTTCCTTAGGAAGGAGATTGTGATAAGTAATTTTCTCTTCCCTAACTCCCAATATTTTTTTCCTCTCATACTTTTCTATTAATTTTAATCTGAAACTACTGCATAACTTTTGATATTTTTCCCACTCAAGTTGTGCATCTATTTGTGTATAAGGAACAGCCCATGGTTCTATATTCTTGACAACTTCTTAGCCTTATCGAAAAACTACCATTGTAGTTTTCTAGTTTAAGAGGTTTTTGGACATATTCTTCTACTTTGTAGATAACCTAAGCAATATTTTAAATCATGTATTTTAAATTCCCTCTTATACTACAAAAATCACATTGCCAATTATAAAACCAGGTATATACCCAGTTGCATGACATTTTATAGATGAATAAAAATCACTTTATCATGACATACCAATTAATGAATCATTCTTGTCCTCCATTAGTGTGATAAGGTACTCTCTTTTTTTATATTTCGGCATATTATGGGGGTACAGATTTTAAGGTTTCAACAAATGCCCATTTCCCCCCTCCCCCCAAAAGTCTGAGTCTCCATCATGACCATCCCCTAGATGTTGCACATCTCACTCATTATGTATGTATAGTACTATTCCTAAGCCAAGTATTTTTTATGTTGCTCACTGAACGTGTTTTCAATAGTTTTGTAAAGCATAAGTTTGAAATTCTTTATCCAATTTCTTCTTGTGCCTCATGAATTGTCCCATTTTAACAGCTATTCATTATTCCCAATAACATTGCAGTTCTGCATTTTGTATGAGAAGGATAAAAACCTATAGACCATAATAATATTGATATATCTCTTCTTTGAAAGAACACCAAATCCAATTTCCTCAATGAAATTTAGGGGAAAAAATTAAAATTAGGAGTGTAAGTATAAAAACAATTTTAAACAAGAATTGAATCATTTTCAGGAAAATTGTAGCTTGTAATTTTGTAAGGTACAATTGACTTATGGATTTGATAATGGATAGCAAATTATATGCCACTTGTCTCATTGAATTGTACTCATGCTTGTTCATATTATCACAGAAGAATATTTTCAGTAAAGAAAATACCTCATATTGAGGTATGTTTGTTTGTGTGTACAGCAATTGACACCATTGAAATGTGATAGACTTTAATTTCATTAAGTGAATGGTAATTAAAAATTTATTGAATATAAAATATTGTTCATTGTATATATCTAATTATCACTATATTTTTTGTACACATTAGCTGTCCCACTTTATCCCCAGCCCCCACTACTCTTCCCAGGCTCTAGTAACCATTATTCTACTCTCTGTCTCCAGGAGATCAATTGTTTTAATATTTAGCTACCACATATTAGTGAGAACGTGTAAGATTTGTCTTTCTGTACTTGCCTTATATATGAAGTTCTAAGGAGAGAATGGATTATAAAAATCATTTTATCTAATAGCAGCATCATAAATACAGTGGAAACTTGTGCAATTAAATATTGGCTAAAGTTACAACACTGGAAAAGAATCAAGCCAACACTAGAACTCAGGGCATCTGATTTTCATCTTGTTTTCTTTTCAGATGCCATTGCTTTTCTTTAATATTTCAGTTTTAAACTTGCCAGAAATATGAAATTTATAAACATGTGGATGTAAATAATATCCTCTTTCTCATTTCTGCAAAACAATGAGAGCTAACCAAAGGAAAAATACAGGTTTCCTAATTAAACACTAATTACTAGACTGTTTTTCATATTTAACATTTTCCGTATATATCAATAAATGAAACCTGTTACATAAATTTAAAGTTTTTAACGTATTTTGCAATAGTAGTGGGGCCTAGGAAATCATGACCATGGGGCTAGTTTGAAAGATAATCAATGAAAGTATCTTATAAATGTCTAATGCAATTCTTGCCTTCCCAATGATGGATTTCTCACCTCCCATCTTGTGGTAGGGGCTAGTTTCTTCAAGATTGCCTAATGATTAAAATAGCCTTTGAGGAAGGATGAAATCCCAACCTCATCACTTCCTATTTGAAATGTTCAACCTTGGACAAAAATCTAATGATTCTAAACCCGGTTTGGTTTTCTTATATGAAAAATGGGAAATATAATGGTGTTAACTTTACAGGATTGTTGTGATTATCAAATAAAAAATGCATAATAAGATCTGAGAGTTCTTCCTGTCAATATTATAATCATGATTTCCTTTCTTGCCTATTAATATGAGTTGATCAAATGGTCAAGTAGAATAGTCATGTTAAAAACTGCCGAAAGTAATCAAATACAAATATGACGTTTATCAAAATCAATGGAATACACACACATGCACAAAGTTTGGCCCTTAAGAAAGAAAAAATCCTAAAAAGAGGAATTTTTGAAGGGAAAAAAGAAAATCAGTCAATTCCTGGATCATTAGGATTCAAATCCAGGTAATGTAAGTCACTGTATTTCATCAACTCTTAACTATTAGTACAATGCTCAAGCAATCAGAATGCATAAGATAGGTAACTGTGATGGAACCTTAAAATTTTTCTTATCTGACCACTTGTTTAAACTCTTCTGAAACTTTAAGACCAACATGAAACATCAAAGACAGTGCTAGCCTAAGCTCTTTGCAGGCATTTTTATATTTAATAATCACAGCCTCACAAGCAAATACTATTTTTCACTTTTATGGAAGATATATAGAAAGCTTAAGCTTAGAGAAGTTAAAGTGTTTAAGGCCTAGAAATGTTAGTGTTGGTGCAGAGATTTAAATTTGGGAAGACTGGATTCCAAAGCATTTACCCTTGAACACAGGATTGGCTAAGGTAACACACATACAACAAAACAGTGAGAAATGTATCACAGCAAAAGCAAGTGAAACAAAGCTCAGTATGCAAAGCTTGAGCTTAATAGAATGTAGTTTGTTAGGTGCGATTCAGGTGAAAAGGAAACTCTGGTAAAGTCATAGTAGAATCGCTAGGAGGGGACAGTAAAGAAAAAGAGCAATGATGGAGACAGTTTTCATGACACTTTATTCCTCAACTCTGTGCTTGGGGAAGTGGGATTTGGAGAAGAATAAGAAAAGCATGACCTATGTTTTAGTAGTATAAAAATTATGACTTTAATTTAGTACCATAACCCATTAATCACCTAAGAAATTATTATCCAAAACCAGTAATTAGTTGATAATTCTAGGCTTTGCTGTAGCTGTCATATAATTTCATTATACAAACAATGGTTTTGGTTATCTTTACAATTTAACTACCCTCCCATGCAAAGTCATTTTGACCTTAATATTCTGAAGGTTTCCTCTGTTGAGTACTTTATATTGTTCACATCAATGATATATGTAAAACAAGCATGTTTTTATGTAATTGAGATTTTAAATTTGAGAAAATTTATTAAAAAGTCTGATCATAACAAACTAACATCTCACTTAAAAAATATATAATTCATGTAACTAAATATATGTGCATTAAAGATATGACCAAGCCATCCATTTATGCTATTTATTTTGAAAAACCAAACAATTATTTTGCCTTGAAATAGATGTAGTCTTAATCTAGCCAACAAAAAACATAGCACCCTTTGGCCTTCTGTCATTTATTAAGGCTTTCTAGTATTCAAATGAGAAAAAAGTGAGCACTTACCATAGGGAAAAATATATTTGAATTTATGATCTAATTAATCCATAATTGCCATATCTATAATGCTACTGGTTTGGAATGGTAGCTCAGGATACAAAGACACAAAATAGTAAATAAAGTAGTGAGAAATATGTAGTCATTTTTAGATAATGACTCATAAATGACAACTAAATTATCTTTGTCCAGTACTTCATCTTTCTTTATATTAATGGGAAAGGGTGGTTTAAACATGTTGTAGATGACTGATACCTAATTATTGAAGTGAAAATTTTGGAGCAGATGTTGGTTGGAAAATTTATATATAAATTGATAACATGTAATATGCAAATGGCCACAAAAATGAAAGGATATGGGATGATCATCATTGCAGGAGATTTCAATTAGAAAGTTTTAGAATGTTACCATTAAGCTATTTTATTTTATTTTATACCATATAGAATTACTTCAGAAAGAATTTAGACGAAAAAAAGATGCGATATGAGATCAATAATCTGAAAAAATAAAATCTACTATAAAGCTATATTTTTTCTAATTCTCCAAGGCAGGTATTTTAAAAGGAGAAAAAGAATCAAAGTGTTTTTTGAAGTTTCACCAAAAATAAATTGAAGAGTCTTGGGATTTGAAGGACAAGCGTAGGGAACATTCATGTAACTTAATAATGAGAAAAATACAATAGATCGTTCAGAGTTTAGGAATTAAAACTTCGCCAACAGTAAAATTTTATATAGAGACAAACAGGCACTGCCTTACTCAATAGGTAAAAATGGTTCTGCTGTGTCATCAAAAGAGTTACACCTTTTTGTTTTGTTTTGTTTTTGTGTGTGAGACTGCTGGAATATCTCTCACAGGAGAGAAGTTTCCAGAACGAGTCTATCGTTGAACCCAATGGAGGGCAAGGAGAGCCATCTGGCTGCAGTTTATCTTTTCTCCTAATGGAAAACTTAATGTTTTTGATGCTCCTGGCACATAAAGAAACAAACTCTAGAATTTACTCTGCCAATAGGACTTTTAGCAGATGTTACTTCATTTGTTAAGTTGACAGCTTGTTTGCTTACACCTTCTCATGCAGCTGATGTTTTCACAGTGAATTTCGGGAATTTGAGAATGGCTCCATCTGTGTGGAGTGTGATCCCCAGTGTGAGAAGATGGAAGACGGCGTTCTCACATGCCATGGCCCGGTAAGCCTGAAGACATCTGCGGTTGTGTGTGCTTATTTAGTATCATGCATGAATGTTTTGTTATGTTATTGTTTTGTTCATCCATCCATTCAATAGGTACTTATAGGATGCTATGGGGAAATGTGTTTAATATTCTGCTGTCAAGAGGCTTAAAGTTTAGTGGTAGGGATAAAATATTTCAAAATTTGACGTCATAAACATTTTATTCTCCAGATAATGTATTTAAACAGAATCATAGGATACAGAGTGGTCCCAGAAGATTGCACAGCATAGAAAAGAGAGATACAAAAGTAAATAGATTAAATGATAAACATTGATATAATATAAATATGTATAAATTGTTATAGGAACACAAATGAAGAAGAAACTAATTCTATCTTTGGGATGGAATGTGGGTTATCCAGGAAAGACATAGAGAAGTGATATTTGATCTGTACTTGGACAAAGAATCTGAGAAGAAGAAACGTAAAGATATGCAAGTGTGAAGGTCACTTTGTGTTTGGGGAAAACTAACACATTCTTATCCATGTTTAATCACTTAACTATTATGGCAGTGTGAAGGGCAGTGGAAAGAAGGAGGAAGACAAGTACTTATAAACTAAAATCTAAAGAAATACAAATATGTTCACAATGTCAGGGTTCATAAATAAAAATGAAAAATAAAGATAAAACAGTGTGCTAAATACTATGGCAAAGAGAAGAATGGAGCTATGAGAATCAAAGGAAGGGACTGTAGCATCAGGAAAGTATCCATGAATGAGGTGCTGTCTAGTCTTAGAAAATAATAATTATTTTTAGACCTCACTTTGGTTTCCATACTACAGGTTTTTTCTTAATAATGATATCAGTATGAATTTGTTATTCCAAAGTGTCACATTCATCCTTCATTAAGAAAATCTTCCAGTTTATCTGTTACTGAGTTGTCTGTCAGTAGATAATTTGGGGACCAACATTTGGGGGTAGATAAGAGCTCAACATTGCTTCATAAGAATTCATTTGAAATTTAAATAGTATATATTTTTCCACTGAGTGCTTATTCAGAGCTTAATTAGCTTAGAAAAAATATCCTTGAGCCCTCCACACTTCCAGGAGGCCCCAATAAGCTGTTCTAGAACTTCATCTAAAGAAGGATGTGGAAAACTCAGACAGTTCTGAGGACTACCACAAGGATGATTAAACTTGGAAAATCAGATCTCTGAGAAAGAGAAGTGCTGTTACCTGGCCTGAAGAACCAAAGTCTAAAAGGCAGTTTAATATGTGATGACCTCTGAGTAAATATGCAAAGGGCATATGTAGCTCTTCTTTCCCTTCACTATGGACAGTAATGAAAAATACAATTAATCAGCAGCATGAGAAATGAGAATTCTGTAAAGAATGTCATGAATCACAGGGGAGAAAATTTATATAATGGGTTGTTGATGCTGCTCTTTGAGCATCAGGAAAGAAAATAATAATTTATAAAAGAAATAAATATTTTTAAATTAAAAAAAAAGCAAGTTGAGATATCTCTGTGAGTTCTTTTAAAACTAACATATGTAGGTAACTTCTTGACCAGAAGTCATAGAATTAAAAATAGTTTCAGAAAAACTGAAACTTTAAAAATGTATATTAAAATAATCAAGAATTTGGCCACCTCATCTGAGCAATTCTGTGGATCATCATATGTCTCCAGATCCAATCATAATGTGTATTGGACATAGATTTACAGAAATACTCTCTAAAAATGTATGGGTAACTACCCAAAATTACCTAATATTTTATTTGTGAATCACTATCAGTGCCAAAATGCACTGATATATCCTATAGATTTCTTTTAATTTTCAAGATTAATTTTTGCTTCACTCATGTAATTTCCTATTTTTCCCTTGCTCCTTTTATTTTGAATAAGCCTCTGAGAAACATCTTGTTTACTGATTCAGCAAATATTCTTTACACAAATATTGTTTACATAAAGTACCTACTTTGTGTCAGACTTTATCAGCATAACTGTTGCTGAGTTTTTACATTTTAGCAGACTCAAATTAATATTCAAAAATATTTCTCAAAAATTACTAGTTACATTATTTTAATATTTTATTTTTTCACATAAGTCTTTTCTCCATCTATTGCATTCTGTATATTGAAAAGGAATTCAACTTATATTTTGACCTTTCTTACAATCTTTGCTTTTCAGAAAAATCAAATATTTTTTATTATTATCTTATTAATATTATGTATTAATTAATACTTTTGGTTCAATTAATCCTATAGATAGAAAACCAATTTGTGTGAAAGTAAAGTAAGCATATTCAGTAATACACCATAATTTTTCTAGAGTAATTTCATGGAAAAAATCTCCTATATGAAAATCTGATGTTGGCTTAACATCTGTAGCAAAGCTTAACCTTCACTGAGGAAAGACCTCAGTAACGCTCCTCCAGTATGACTATACTAGATCCAAGTAGGAAAAAGTCCAATGACCACATCACCTACTAATCAAATCATAGTTAGTATGATCATTGTAGATCATATCCATATTCATGATTTAACAGACATTATTGAGTGTCCTTTGTGAACTAGTTCTTATGCTAGGTATTTTTACATACATTTTCCTTCATTGTCTTTTAGATATTTTCCCCATTTTTCCTATGAGGGAAAAGCTCAGAGATATTAAATGAATTGCTTAATATAGTAGATCTCTGGAATTACAATTTCAACATCCTATCTCAGGGTGCTTGACTGTCAGTCCCATGTTCTATTTCTCATGCTACCTTCTGTTGTATAATATTATGCAAATGAATAACTTGTTTATTAATTTCTTCTAATTTGTATGTTTTGGCAGTTCATTTGTGCATTCGTGTGTTCCTCAAAAGATTCAAGACAGCTTTTAAAAAATATATGTTTAAAAAAAACCCTAAAAGTCAATGTTCTTGCAATTTTGAAAATGATTTGATAACTAGAAAGAGGGAAACTTGAACATTAGAACACATGGAAAATAAAAAAAAATAAAAAAAAAAAAGAAAGAGGGAAAAATAGGTTTTAAATTAACAAATTTTTGTTCTGGAATGACAGCATTTGTTGGGCAACATTAATAAGATTATTACCCAGCACTAAGTTATCAAATGCTATGTCTAGAGAACAGAGAAGGCAATAAATCTAAAACATAGAAAGTACAGTAAGGCTGAGGAAGTCATCAGTGGAAGATCAGTGTACAGAATCAAGAAAACCTAAGTGATCAGTAATCCTTGAAATGCTAAGCAGCTAAGAACACAAAGTTTTAGTAATGGTGTCTGAAAAACTGGCAAGGCTGAGCTCAAACAAGGGTTCAAACTTTGCTCCCCGAGAGGGTGGCTTTCTTTCAACCTTTACAATTCATACTAGATTTTTTTCCTGTTTCTGGGTCCACATGCTGATTATCACAGCTAGAGTCAGAAGTGGGTTTGTGTGCCAGATAACAAGTTTATATTATTTAGGATATCCAAGAGGTTCTGGAAACTTCTCGATAAGATGGACAGTGTGACAAAATAGAGGAAGAAGTCATCAAAGCTATTTGGAAATCCCACTCGTGGTCTTATGTTGTATTCAATTGAAATCTTATTTTTGACCTATTTCCCTAATATATTTATGTTTACCAAGCACTGTTAAATCTGAAGCATGATAGCACTTTCTCCCTTTAAAATACAAAGAAATTGAACCTGTAATGATTAGAAAGTTACTCCAAAATCAGCAAGGCAATAGGATATGGAGATGCAACTATAGAAGTTCTGACTCCACGTTTCTCACACTTTTCAATTCACTTTTTGCCCAGCAACAATGTCCTTAGTATAATAAGGATGAAATGCTTTCTGGGAATATGACAACTATATGTAAAATGGGATAATCCTACTTAAATAAGACAGAAATCTAGGATAATCTAGAGAAAGATAGTTTTGAAATAAAGGAAGTCTGCTTTTATATCCTCATCTGTCTACACTTGTTTTTTTAATTTAATTTAATTTGTTTTGTTTTTTACAATTTTATCCATGCCTTACTTTCATTACTCTTGTACAGTCCTATTGAGAAAAATAGGGAGGAAATGTGAGAAGTAAGAAAAGAAAGTAAAATCAGACAAAGTTGCAGGAGACCAAAATATAGGCTAGAAAAACAGAAAGAGAAGAAAAGGGATAAGGGAAAGGAACTGATTTTTAAAATACATTTTTACAATAGGTAATGGAGCTCTTAAAGTTGTGTTAGTAAAGGTTGTACTGCCATAACAAATAACCCCAATATTGTAGTAGTTTCCAGAAATACATTTAAGTCTTTTTCATGTAATGTGCACTGCAAGTCTGGGAAATGTTCTAAGACAGCCCCCCTCCCTGTGATGGCCTAGTATCCCAGGATGCTTTTAATTTATGGCACCTCCATTTCTACACAGGGTTTCTGAATCATGGTAACAGAGAAGGAAGACCGGAGAGTTGAGCACTGGTCATCTCATACATCACATCTTATTACATCTCATTGTCCAAATTAAGCCATACCTTATATCTAGTGGGAGGGGAACTATAATCTTCCCATATGGATGGAAGTAGACGAGAATTAGATACTGGTAAACCATAGCTTTGTCTCTTGTGGTAGCTTCTAGAGAAAAACATCAATTGTCACTGAGGAAAAAATGTAATGTTTCTATCAGGATATCACCTGTCCCTTAGTTGTCCTTCTAGAGTATTAAATCGAGAGGTATCTTAGAATTAGGGATGAAGAAGAATAGTGCATTAACCTCTATTTTCTTCGATTGCATTTATCAATTCGTTAATTGCACCTAGGTTCTTAAAAGCTTTGGGAATACAATGAAGGAAGAATAAGCATCACACACATATTTTTCTTTAAGTTTCTTTATTATGAAAACAAGATACAAGATGGGTACATTTCATTTTTTTTTTTTTTTTTTAGAATTGTCAGATGTTTCTGTCAGCCTAGGACATTAGGTTTCCTATCATGATAATACAATCAAATATAGTAAAGCACCCCATGATGATGTTTGGGTTAATGATGGACCACATATATGATGATGCTTCTATAAAATTATAATACTGTATTTTTATTGTACCTTTTCTGTGTTCAGATATGTCTATATGCAGAGATACTTACCATTGTTTTATAATACAATTGCCTACAGTATTCAGTACAGTGACATGCTATATAGGTTTGTAGCCAGGAGCAATAGGCTATACCATATGGCTTAGGTGTCTTACAGGCTACACCATCTAGGTTTGTGTCAGCATACACTGTGATGTTCATACAATGATGAAATCTCCTAATGACACATTTCTTATAACATATTCCTGTCATTAAGTAATGCATATCTGTGGTTAAGAGATGCTCAAAAAATAAGGAAGAACAAAAAATAATTTATCTTACTGCAGTAACCTTAAAGATTAAATATGAATTTAATTTTAATTTGTGACTTTTTATATCTTTTGATTTCACCTGGACATTATTTTCTATTATAAGAACTTAAGAGAAAAATAATTTTTAATTTTTAATTTTTAATTTTTAATTCAGACTATAACAGCCTAATTTACTTATAGTAAGTTTTAGTCTGTGTTCTGCCAGAACATATCACCATGTCTCTTGTCTTGTACAATAAGTCATGCCACTGAGCATACTTGCACAGTAAATGATTCTGTATAATAGACAGTATTACGTGCCTAAGTACCCATAAGCAGGTGTTAAAATTGGAAGCATGTGAAGTATTCTTTTTTGAGAGGAAATAAGAAGTTACCATTAGCAAACTCCTCAGGTAGAATAGGGATTAGGTTTTATAGGCTTACTTTTTTTTTTTTAGTTCTTAGCCTCACATGATGATAGTGAAATAGACAGGTGCCTGACTAAAACTCACCAATCTCGGGATTTTTAGAAATCTCCTGATTGCTTTTTCTTCTTGACACCATAATTCTTCATTAGCAGCCTTCATTTTTTTTTAATTTTTAAAATATTATATTTCTTGATCTCCTGATTCCTAATATAACCAATTTGTAATGTCTGGCTGCTTTTGGATTCACATTTATGTAGGGGTATAGGGCACTCCCCTAATTGCCATAGTTCCTACCTAATAATAACTTTGTGCTAATTCTTGGCTCCCAAATTCTCATTATTTATAACTACCGGTATTAACTTGATAGAATTGTCTCCCTGTATACACACTATATCTTATTTATGTCTTTAATATGAACCATAATGATTGTTGAATCCTGTAGACTTAGATGTTAGGGAGAAATGAGGGGAAGAAGTTCCGTGTTCAAAAAGGAGAATTAAAAGTAAATTTATAATAGGTAATATTCAGAACAGCTGAATATGTGAAAACATGGGCGTCTTTTAAGAAAAATAAGATTTTATTAAAATGTTCTAAATTTTCTTTTATCTGAACGTATACTGATCATTCCTTCTGCACTTACTGTTCCCTGCACCAGATACCAAACCAGTTTTTATTTTGCAAAATTTTTAGATGTTTAATATTATTTTAAAGAGTTAATTTTGTTTTTTTAAATATATTTTCATATTATTATTGCTTCTTGACATTATATTAGAAAATTAATGTATCTTGTAAATATAAATATATAAAATGAGTTAGTTCTATTTAAATTTTTCTTGCTCATATTTATATTACCCTCATCCTTGGATTAGTTTCTCCATGAAGTTTTTATTTGTATGTATCTGCTTTATTATTAATATTATGGAGTTTTTGATATTTGTTCATCAGGGTGTGCATTTATATGGTTCTCAGTATTGTTCTGTGATTTACTAAAATCCCTCTAAATAGACATTACATGATGTGTAGCATTATCATAAGCTGATTTGAGATAAATAATAACTGGATTTTTTTATTATTTGTCTAAACTGCCTAATTCCTGGTAATTTAATCATAATAAATTTTACAATGCATCTTACAAATAAAGTCATTGTACAACCAAAAGAAAATTTACACCCCACTTTTATGTGAAATTTAATGTTACTTAATTTCTATTGTATCTTTTTTCTCATTAACTATTTAGTAAGAGTATTCACATATTCCCAGTGATGATGATGAAATCCCCCAGGGAATATCTGTTGTTAACAAATATTATTGCACTGTAATGTCACTAGAAATAAACCACAAAAAGAAAATACTGATGTCCTTTTGGAAAAGTCATTGGACAATTTTTCTGATCAAATTAAAGCACATTAGAGGAATGACATAGAAATTAGTTGACCCAGGAACTGCTGATTTCAAAAAGCAAAATATTTCAAGAACACATATATTGTTATAACATTTTCACACATATAGGGTATTAAGCTGAACTTGAAGACTCTCCTTAGCACTATCTGTACTACAATAGCTATATTCACATTAGTACTGCTGAAAATGTTCTCTAGTTCCCTAGAGGGAGATTTGCTATTTATTGAAGTCTCAGTAGCTAAAACACATGAATACATTCCAGAGGAAATGGCACCCACTTTCTTCTCCATTCATTTTTTTCTTTTTTTACATTTCAGGGACCTGACAACTGTACGAAGTGTTCTCATTTTAAGGATGGCCCAAACTGTGTGGAAAAATGTCCAGATGGCTTACAGGGGGCAAACAGTTTCATTTTCAAGTATGCTGATCAGGATCGGGAGTGCCACCCATGCCATCCAAACTGCACCCAAGGGTAAGCATCCTTGCCGGCCAAGGACTCAGCCTTGTATGTGTTGCTAGTGAGAAGGTACACGTGTTTCTTTATCCCTGACACTGTCTTCTAAATATAAGAACATTCTCATAAAACTCTATATTTAATATGTTGATTTTAAGAGAAATCCTATCTAAAAGAATGATTTTAAGAGATCAAATTTGTACCCTATGATATATTTCTGCTTAACATTTACATATAACCAATCTATTGACATTTTCCTGAAGCTAGTGACAAGTATACTTTGAATATGGTGTAGAAATATGGTATAGAAATTCAAGATACTAGGAAAGATAAGGTAGTGATCATATTTTTGATATTTGTGTTTATTAAATCATTAATAGCAGTTTTTTTATTTGTTTCTTTGTTTTCACAATCAGCTTAAAGTGAAGATATCTCTCTGTGATAAATACTACCTTAGATTACTCCTTCAAGATAATGTGAACAACGGTAGTTCCGGTAGAAAAAAAATAGGGAAAACTAACGATATGTATATTAATAAAATAACTAGTACATTTTGTGAAAATAACTTTGTTACAGGTTATCCGATAGCCTAAAATTTCTTTGACTGATGTAGAACAATTCAAAAATTGGTAAATATTTTTCTGCTTTTCAAAATAATGCATTGTACAATGAATAATAATTAGATTATGTATGATATTGATAACAGTCAAATAACAAAGGCACATTACAGAAAGAAGAAAAGCACTGAACTGTAAAAGAAATGTTATTCCTCTAACAAATACCAGCAACTATTTCTTAAAATATAAAAAAAAAATCTAATTTAGTAAGGATTTTTTCTTTTTCTTTTCTCCAGAAAGTATATGATTTTAGGACAGAAAGCAGTTTCACATACTCTACCTTCTTCCTGACCATAAAACCTCTTCCCCATTGAGTGCCCACAGGCATGTGCACATATACATACGAACACACATATACTTGTTCATCTTGGGTACGTTATACTGGCAGGAAACTATGATATTCCATAAAGAGATTTTCTACCAGATTAAGGGCTAGCTGTTAGGGTATATTGAAGAAGTTAAGCAGGCAACATCATTTCCTGCCAAGAAAACATCCATTTGCAGATGCTGCTACCATTTCCTGCAGGTCAAGAAATCTGCTTAAGTCACTCTGTGAAGTGGCAGATCCTCAAAAGGTAAAGTAATATTCTGCCATTCAAATGCAGATTCAGTTTGGAAGAGCCTACTGCCAGCTCACTGGTTTACACATAAACACATAGGTTGAGGATACTGAAATAGTCACATAGATACTTTGCTTCAAGGAAAGTAGAAGTAATAAACTGCTCCCCTTGTGAGTTTTTGGCACACTTAAGTTAAGAGTATTTTATGAAGAAACAACTGGTACTGCTGGAGCAGAAGAGAAAGTCAGCAACAGAAAGAGAAAACTTTGCCTGCTAAAATCATCCACAAGAGGATTTTATTGTTTTGCAGCTAAAATTAAACCAGTAAATTATTCAATATAATGCTGATGTCAACAGCTGTTGCCATTCAAAATGAGACCTTTTGCTGTTTTTGCAAATCTAATTACAATGAAGCCATTAGGGAAATGAAAGTGAGATCACAGAGCCATAGTCTGGATGTGTGGTTGGTGTGTCTTCCTCTCAGTTCTTTTAAATCATGATTATATAATTTTAAAAAACATATAGTGGGGTGGGGGGGGAGTAGAAATAGGGAGCAATGAAGAGAGATCAATTTACTGGAGCAGCAAAATCTGGATTTCAGTTGAAAGGGAGGATGATGGTTTAACTGGGAACAAATCTCATCAGATCATTTGGAAAACTCCAAGTAAATAGGAAAAGAAGGTGATTTTAGCAAATTACAGCTGCAGAATTATGGTGAGACAGAATTTGAATATCGTACTCCCCAGCATCTTCCAAGGTAAACGTATTCTCTCATGACTGACTTACTCCTCAAGGATTTTTGGTTTTGTTTTCATTCAGCTTTCTGCCATCCTTTTTCCAATAGCCTCCGTATCGTCAATGTTCACTCACTTCATAAAAGCGCTATGGTTGCAGCCCCAGAGCAAAAACTGCTCCATCACAGGGGCAGTGGGGATAATGGTATGAGTGACTATTTTTATTCTTAAACACATGTTAATAACTGACCTATCAATAAGTGTGAGTTCACCAAGCCAGCTCCACTTTGAAAGCAGCTTTTCTTTTCCTAACATGCCAATATTATGTCCGATAATTCAAGAACCAAGTTAATGGAAATGGTCTTTCAAATCACACTTTTTTTAGAAGTAAAGTTCTTACTTTGAATACTGTTTAATGACTTTCTGAATTTAAAATTATCTGTATAATACCTCAAAAGCACTTTTACTATTCTAAAGGTACATTAAATATATTGGCTGTAACGAGTTCTTTAGATACTTTTAAAATAGGTTCTCCATTTAGGCTCTATCAAAAGGTTCTCACTAATATCCCAGGAGGAAGAAACAATGACAGCAACAACAACATTGCCTCTTCTTGTGTTGACTTAGACAACTCTTATTTTAGCAGCTTTTCCTCATTTCATTCATTCGTCAACTTTCTTAAGTTGGATATCTGCTCTGCATCAGACACAGTGACAGGCAAGTTAAGAAATGAGCAAGATGCAGCTCTTGACTTCTATGAACTCACAATCCAGTGAATTTATATTCTTTAATTTATATCCTCTATTAGACACCAGAACCTTCTCCACAGCATTTTTAAATGATGAGCAAGAATTAAAAACTTAGGAATGATATTTATATTTTAAATTAGAAAGATAGAAATTTTAAAAGACTTATAAACTAAACTTAGCATGTAATTAAATGGTAGTGAGAATGGAGATTATCATTCCCTCACACACATCACTTGAGTCCATGCTAACTTAATGTCATTTTAATTTTGATTTTGTTTCAAACCAGATCTACATTTTAGATTGTATTGTAATGTTTATGTCATGGGGAATCTTATAAAAATCTCATTACATATTTTTGTTAATATTAGAATCATAGTTTCATATTAAGTTTCACAGATGCCTTAATCTTGTTTATCAATCCTTTTAAATTTATATAATGAAAAATTTTCATGAATGGAAAGGATAGAAGGGCTGCTTGTGGAAGTATTAAGTCTATAATCTTTCAATGGAAATGTTTAAAAATTTCCTCCATTTCCATTTCAAAATTTGAAGATTTTGTCAAAATAGCTTAACTGTGTTGGTTATATAGGTACATCAAGGTACTTATAAGTCATTATGTACCAACAATTGTTAAATACACCTAAATATTCAGAAGTCCAGAAATTGTTTTGGAATACATATATTAGACATATTATGGTTTCTTTTACTGATCTATCTGTAAGCATATTTTGGAACACTAATTTTTTTGAGAATTTTATTATTCCATATCTTGATTCAATATCTTATTTGAGATTTTTACTTTTTACAAATTTAATGTTTTTACAATGTTTTACAAATTTAATGTTTTACAAATGTTTTACAAATTTAATGTTTCTATGATCATATGATCTTGCTGAATGAATGTAAATTGCATATGCTAATTAGTTACTTCTATAAAGTGCAAAGAGTTCAAGTGTAATATACATCTTTAAGTATGCAATGGCTTGTATTTAGAAAGGATGGTGCCACATGAGTCATATTGTCATTCTTATTTTTCTTTCATTTTTTTCTTTCATCCTCAGTTTAAAAATATGTGTACATCTCAACCTGCACAATCCTCTCAACAACCTTTCTTAACCCTACATCCTGCTCCCTCAGTCTCTTCCCTCTCTTTCCCCTGCCTCTATTTTCATATTTGATTCCCAACTCACAGAAACCTAAATTCTAGTGACTGTGATAATGGCAAGTAAAATTATCTCAGGAATTCTTACCAGACTTCTCTGCATTTCACACTGATAATCACCCCCTCTTTCTTGATGTTCTTTTCTGATTTGGCTTCTATGACACTGTAGTTAATTGATTTTACTCAATTATATTTTCCCATGCTTTTAGTATAAAGAGCCTATCTTAGTTCATATGCTATTGGAGTTTTTGGGGTTCTAATCTTCAGCCTCTCTTTTTCTTACTTTAGGTATCTTCTTCTGCCATTCATTCATTTACATGGCTGTAGCCTTCTCCTGCATGGTATTTCATACGTGATCATTATACCCATCTCTTCTTTCCTCCCTTAGCAACAGAGGCATCTTCTCAACTGCTGAGTAACATTTCTACCTCTATGCAGGACAACCACACTAACTGTAGATGCACAAAACTGAAATTGTCAACCATCCCTCCCTTAATGCATGTGTGAAGAAACATGTCCTTCCTTTCGGATTTTCTCAATAATGGCACCACTATTCTCAAAGCTGGAAATATAAATCATTTTTTAACTGCGATCCCTTTATATCTTTCATTAAATCAGCCAACTTAATCTATTTTCCCTATACCTTTTGAGGCATATCTTGAATCTGTCCCTTTGTCACTTTCCCAGTTATCATTTCCCTGGGTTAGTCCATCATCTTTTACATGGAAAAAATTTTTGTGGCCAAAGAAGTCTACCTGGCTCTCAGCTGACTAGGCTCTACAGAGCAAAGGGATACAAAGATTTGTATCTATTTAGAATGTAAATCTAGCAATCTCAGTATTTCTTTAAAAGTGTATGGTGATTTTCTATTAAGCTTGCTACTAAGCAAATTGTTATCAAAATCTGGCTTGCATCTAATGCTCTAGCTTCTTTTTTTTCCCCCTCTTCCTGTTGTCTCACATTTTGTTCTCCAACTATTAAGAATTGTTTGTAGTTGTTCGTATACACTATACATTTCTGCAGATCTATGTTTTTGCTCCTGCTGTTTCTTGCCCCTCAGAAATTTCTGCCACTCTAACCCCAGCTCTCAGCACTCTAAACTTTAGCTTCCCTCATCCTTCAGGAGGGTTACCATGACCTTCTGCTGTTGGCCTGGGTGTCCCTCCTCCACACTCCTTTAAAACACTCTTTCATCTCTTATTTAATTTATCACATATACAATACACATCTGTTTATCCATCTGTTTCCTTCATTAAATTCTAAGCTCACTGAAAATAAGAAAAGTGTCTAATTCATCTTTTTTTTCCCTCCAGGTCCTAGAACAGTAGGAACACTTAGTAGGCATGTAACTCAGGTTTTCATAATGGATGAAAATCTTTCATTATTCACACTTTCCCCTCAAGTTGAATTTTACTTTTGAATTTTATTATTTTTTTTAATCTTTCAAGGGTTATTATAAAGATAGATTGGAAACTAACCACAGCTTTTTAGATCCTCACTTGGAAATAAAAAATTGACCAATAATTTTATAAAATGACAATACTGTATATGAAAGCATTTTGAAGAAGATATAACAGGAAAAATAAGTTCTCCAAAACAAAATTAAAAGAAAACTATATAAGATAATTTGAAAGCTTTTTGGTAGTTAATTTTTCACTTTTGGAAATGGTTTTGATGATGGATTATGCGTAATACCAATTCAGTGGTATATAGTTTATTTCCCATTTGCTTGCTTTTTCAAAGACTTTTATCACAGGTGTATTTCCCATATTTCTGTAGGTTAAAATTTGTCTGTGCTTCTCAAAACAAATCCTTAAAACAAAAACAAAAACAAACCAATTTTCCTGTTAGTAGGAATGTTATAACAGATATTGATGAAGCAAAGAGAAAATGACTTAATTGTTATTATAGATAAGTTATATTAGTTCACCAATGTTTATATTTTTCTAAAAATATAATGGATATTTTGGCCATATATTTGGGCACCTTTTTATATCATTATGTAATTATCTTAACTTCAGCTCCTTTTTCAGTTTTGAAAATTAAGAGTTTGGAAAAAATATATAATCTTTATTACCAGCCAAAGTAGGCAGTTTTAGAAATGATAGCTGTAGGAGGAATCTCAATAATGCCCTGGAGCTATCTATCTTTGATGGGAGAAAAGAGAAAGAAAAAAATTCAAGTACATTGGAAGATGAAAGAAATAATACTTCTATAATAGTTCAAAATGAAATTCTAGGGACTGTACATTAGAATTCTGTGTACTTACATAATTCAATTTAAATGTTAATCTCAGTGTATTCTTTAGTTACCTAGATCTCAATTTATTCATTTCTTTGCAGAGTATTTATTTATTTGTTATTGTTTGAATTCATTATTATGGCAGGTTAAAAACCTGTTTTTGTTTGCATGTTATGGCACTGCTATTTTAAAAGAGAACGTCAAGATAAAGTGCAGTATGATGAAACCAGTTAATTTGCTTTTTAAATAAATTCATGTTTAAAGATAAGTATGTTTTAAAGGCAGTCACAACCAAAGACCAGAATAATGTGATTATATAAAGTATCCATGAAAATAGCATTAAAGTATATTAACTAATTTTCTGCCAAAATAAATCTTTAATGAGCATTAAGTATCAGGTTATTATATTATATTGAATTGCTCATATTTCCTTTTTATTGATTTTGTTTTTTACTTAAATGTAAGGGCTTTGGAAGACACCATATACATTAAAACAATTATAGTCATTAAAATATCAAGTTATTCATCAAGACATATAATCATGAATGCTGCAAATGAATTGAAAGTATTAGAAATGAACTCTGTGTGTTTGGAAGTTATCCACAGAACCAGGATAAAATTTCCTCTGCTGTGGACATGTTTCTTTGCATTCCACGTGGGTGGTAATTGCAATTCATTCAATTGCAATTCTCTGGGTATCCATCAAGCAATAATCTTCTTGCTGGCTTGAAATCCATGGTGTTCCAAAAATTGTCTAATAATTATAATTAAGAATTTTACACAATCAGTATTTATTCTACTGATTCTTTTTAAAAAATGACTAATTTTTCTTTCCTTATATTTTTTTTAAATTTTTGCATCTTCTGCAGGTGCATAGGCTCAAGTATTGAAGACTGCATCGGCCTGATGGATAGGTACTTGGTGTGCTTGCTTCCCATGTTCTTCCTCCAAGGCTCCATGTGTGAGCACTGGTGCATGTGTGTGCATGTCACTGTGGATGGAGAATGATGTTTTCTGTTCTGTAATTGCCTGCAGGTGTAACGGTCCCACTAGTCATGACTGCATTTACTACCCATGGACGGGCCATTCCACTTTACCACAACATGCTAGGTAACATCTACCATGTTTCCATTTTGCCGCTCAAATCCTTTCCCAGTTATCACGGATAAAAAGTACTAACCAGTTGGGTTAATTTTGTAATATGTTAAATTAGAGATTTTTGAAAGAGGGAAAAACACTTTCCTTTTCAAGCCACCTTTCTTACTTCTTTTTCCTTCATTCATTATGATTTCAGAGTCCTAATTAGTAATGCCATTGATTTTAATTATGTATGATTTAAATAGGATTTTGAATTATTAATATAGAACTTTAAGATAATATTTTTGTTCTTAATTCTCTAGATGATTGCATGATTGGAAAAAGAAATATTTTTAAGGGAGGAATTTGAGAAAGTTGATCTATCTTTGTAAGATGTTTGTTATTTGATTCCATTTCTGATTTTACATTATTTTGAACTGGTTGGTATATTCTCTAGGTACACGAATTACCATAGACTAAAGGCAATATATAAAAATATTTTGTGCAGGTAAAAGTATAATCTGAAATTTAAAAACAAAACATATTACTCATTTTCACACAAATACGTATACACTAATGTTTACAGTGGTTTTATTTATAATCACAAACACTAGAAACTACTCAAATGTCCTTCAGTGGTGGCACATACATGCATCATAACACTACTGAGAAATAAAAAGGAACAAGCTGCTGATACGCCCAACAACATAGATGTATCTCAAATATATTTCACTAAATGAAAGAAGCCAGACTTAATATGTACTGTTCGATTCCATTCATATGGCATTCTGAAAAAGACAAAACTATAGGGACAGGAAATCAATGTTACCAGGGGCTGGAGTTTGGGGGATGAATTTGACTGCAGAAGGGCAGTTAGTTTGAAAGAATAATGGAACTATTCTATGTCTTGATCATGGGAGTGATTGCACAAATGCATATGCTTATCAAAAATGATAGAACTGTACATTTTACTATATATAAATTATACATCAATGAACCCAACTTGTAAAACATCTCATAAAACATTTCCTAAATAGGAAAATAATAACTTTACAATCTTATATATAAATGTGTTTTATTTGTGAAATAATTATATGCTTTTGGAAGAGAAAGTGGTGGTATAATATAATTAGCAAAATGAGAATTTTGGATGAAGTATTGCCTTTTAATATAAACTTTTATATTAAAATATATACAGTGTAAAAGTACACAAAACATAATTGTAAGCCTTAGTGAATTTCCCAAAATGAGACATTTGTGTAACCAATACTCAGATTAAGAAATAAAATATTAACAAAACCCCAAAAACTCCACTGTATGCCATTCCAATGGTAACCAATGTCCTAAATTTTAACACCATAGGTTGGGTTGCCTGGTTTTTAACCTTATATAAATTTAGTCATGGGCCAGATGTGGTGGTGGCTCATAACTGTAATCCCAGTACTTTGGGAGGCCAAAGCAGAGGATCACTTGAGGCCAGGGGTTTGAGACCCAGCTTGGGCAACATAGCACGACCCTGTCTCTACAAAAAATTTTTTAAAAAATTAGCCAGGCATGTTGGTAACTCCTGTAGTTCCAGATACTCAGGAGACTGAGGTAGGAGAACCACTTTAGCCCAGGAGTTTAAGATTGCAATGAACTATGATCACCACAGCACTTCAGCCTGGGCAACAGAGCAAGAAACTCTCTCTATATAAATAAAAAAAAAAAAAAGAAAAAATTTAGTCATACAGTTTGTAGTCTATGCATCTGGCTTCTTTTGCTAAATATATTTATGAGATTCATGTATGTCACTGAATTTAGTTTTAATTTCTTAATTCATATATTACTGCCTTCAAATATTTTTAAATGATCAAATAAGTGGCATACCATCTTAACAAATTGTTTTCTAATGATATAAATAGAGAAATTAAATTATAAAAAGGAAGTATGTGCTAGGATTTATACAACAGTGGCACTTTGACACTTGGGCAAAATCAAGATGAGTTAATATAGCTGTTTAGAGCAAGGTAAAAATTGTGGGGAAAAAATGAGAGAGAGAGGCATGATGAGAAAGCCTAAGGCATATAGTGCAGTTTTATAAACCAATGTCCATTTTAGGCTTCCTATATTTATTAATGTGAAATACTTTTTCACCCTTAAGACCTTGGTCAAGCCACTGCACTATCACTTTTAAGAGTTTTTTCATATTTGTTTTAATGATTGTCTTATAATAATCCCAATGGATTACTCAGAATAGGATGGTAAAGTGTGCTGTCACTGGAATCAGATTTTCTGAGTTCAAAGAAAGGCTCTACCATGTTTTGATGTGTGACTATGGGTAAATTTCTTAAGTTATCTAAGCTGTACTTTCTTCATGTATAAAATGGGAATATTACTGTTGTTCATAAATTGATTGTAAAGATTGAATGCATCCTTAGAACAGTGTTTGGCTTATAGAAGACATTCAATAAATGTTATTATTTATTATTTCTCCATGTATCAAGGATTCTCAAACCTGGGGAATGGGAGAACATGCCTCCCAGGGAGAGGAGGCAAATCTCTATGGTCATCCAGGGAGCTTCCATGTCTACCTCTAGCCCTTTTGATGGGCTCCTTGGAGAAAGATTGAGCAGTTCTCTCTCTTTACCTTGAGACTCTCCGTCATAATAAGGGCCACTGGTACTGATGGCTGTAAGTCATAGGCTGGTATTTAGAGGTACAGTAAAGGTTAAAATGACAGACATAGATCAAGAGTTTTTAACTCTTCTAACTGAGTTTATATGACTCAAAATCATAGTATATTTTATTAATATTATTGATTTAATAGTTTCAAAATTTATACAAAAGCATTATTGGAATTCTCAGTCTTCCATACTCCATAATTCTCGGACTAAAACACTAATTCAGATTAGCCTTGTCATAAATAGGTGACCATGGCCAATAATTGTGGATAGATAATACACTACAGCCGATCATTTCTAAGAAAAATCACCTGTAGTCCATTGTACAGGTCTTTACAAGGGTTCTTAAATGTGAATGCCTGTGTTCAAATATTGGCCCTACCATGTTTCTTATCTGTAAAATGGACATGATAACGGTAATATTTAAATTGAGAATTGTTATACCTCGTAAGATTGGAATGAAGATCCAATGAAAGAATGTACAGGAGCCATCTGTAGTATATGTTCATTGATGGTAGTTACTACTCTAGTTGAAATATTGGCATAATAATCTCATGAAATTAGTAATTTTTGTATCAACAGGGCATTAATCCAATAGGTTAGTGACTGTGGAATTGACATACCAAAATGTCTCAGAGTTTAAGGATTTGAATTTTGTGTCGATCTTCTAAGTGCAAATCTTTCAAGGAATTGGTAGCAAATAGCTTATGGTTCCTTCCAGAAAACTCTTGATATCTTTAATTAATACATCTTTTGAACTTAAATAGAAAGCAATGTGACTCTGTTTTTCAATTGTATTGACTTCTCAGAATTAATTGACTTGTAGGGGCTGTTTACAAGAGAGTTTGAAACTTACATGAATGATTTAATCTGAATGTTTTAGAAAAGTGTTTATGACCACAGAGCATTTTGACACAAATTGGGCAAGAAGGGAATATAACAAGTATCTCCTTTTTCAGGCCCTTAATCTTGAAGTAAATGCTTGCCTCTCTGTGATGGGGAGGCAGGGGGTGTATATTTCACTGAAAGCAGAGGACTAGTCTAGTAATATTTTAAGTTATTTTCCATTTTAAATTTCATCATAGTTTTTTAAAGCTTCCACCAATTGATTAAATTGAATCTTACATAATGGGAGGACAGAAACGTGATTGCAAATAATTGTTTTAAGTTTCATAAACCATATTTTAACTGGGAGATTATCCAAATGCCTAGTTCTCTTTTAGTCACAGAAAATTACATTTAGCATGTCAATGTGGCCATTTCAAAATATTCAGAGTTCATACTCCCTACTGCCTCATTATGCCATATTCTGTTTCCTAAACCAGCAGGAAAAAAGATTGAAGATTTAAATGAAAACAGGGGAAATGTTTCCAATCTTGATCGACTTTCATTTTCTAAGCAATGTTATTCTTTCCCAAGCCTGCAATTTGTGAATTGGTTTTCCACACTCCATTTACCTTACAGGCTGCTGCTGGAATTTCTTCCAGGAAGATTGGATAGGATAGAGTAGAATTTTTTTTTTTTTTTACCTGTAGTCTCCTGGAATATGTTACTTATAATGAAGATAATACTTGATATTTTAGAACGTCTCCCTACTTTCCTTATCTGAATTAAATGCCTTAAAAATAATATTTACCTTTAATAGTTTTCCTTTTACATCAAAAGTTCTATAAAAATATAGTCAACAAGTGTTTATATTCTTTTAGTATGTTATTTATTTTAGCTTGTTCCGATGCTATTTTCATACAGATTCTTACAGAACAAATGTTAGATTCTATTCTGTTTTAGATTCCTTGTCAAATATATCTCCAAAGTTTTTTTTTTTTTAATCCTAAACTCTTATTCCTAAAGGGCCTGAATTTGTTAATCTCCACAAACAAAGGCTCCGTTGCCAAATTCATTCTTTTATGTTAGCGATATAAAATGTAAACTAACAATTTTTAAATTTGTGAGAGAAGTTATTGAAACTACTAGATATCTGTTCAAACATTTTTTATCTGTCTACTTGCTCAAATTCAACTATTCTAAGTGCTTCCTGATGTAAAATAAAGTAATTGAACTCAGTTTAATTCTCTAAATTCCATATGGGCAGCAATTTGAAACATTTTATATTTTTGTCACATTTTAATGCCTGTGTCATACTTTTACTTTATGGTCTAGTGGTTATTACCTAAGAGGTCACATAACAGTTTATCCTTTAGCGGTGTAAACCATGTGTGATATATGACAGAGATGATGTGATACTCTTGGCACCACTTTCACAAATAGCACAATTTTTTTCTTTGTTTGTTTTGCCCCCAGGAAACTTAGTTCATAACTTATATCCAAATCAAATGGTCAAAGTTGCCCGTAGATGGTTACCTCAGATGA